CATCCAAAGGACTTCATCAGTCCAAGGAGCCACAAGTAACTGTAACTGAAAACCTTTGATGAAAACAATTTTCCACCTTTGACACCTGATTCTTCACAATCCAAGCAAACACTCTTGTAGGAGGCATGTCCATTAAAACCACCTGAAACCAGGACTGCAGGGGAAAGGAACGCTCTAGAGAGGTTTTTTTTTTCAACCTTTATTTAAGCAGGTTAGTCTCATTGAGCCACTTGGACTCATTTACAAGAGAGACCTGTTTAAACCCTGCAGGTGTTTTCCTCACCTGACTGGTGTGGCTGATTGCCAGTTTGCGAGCCATAAACTGCAGCTGAGCCAGAGCGGCGTCCAGGCGGTTTTCTCCACGAGCGGGCTCGGGGTGGCTGGATTCCAGCTCCACCAGCGGGTGCAGCAGCCTCACAACAGACAGAACCTCCTCTGTGACCTGCCGTAAGAACAGACGGTTACTACGAGCCCCGCAGGTGCACGTTGTGTCCGGAAGCGGTGCGTGTGTGAACCTCACGTTCTCTCGGTGCTGGCTCCAGCCCAGTCCATCTCTGCTCTCCTGTAGTTTGTCCACTTGAGCCTTAAGTTTGATGCTTCGTTTCCGAGACAGCTCCACTTCTCTGCGCACCTCCTTAAGCTACAAATAATACAAACAGGAAAGCATGCGCGAGTTTATTGCTGGGCAAACGGTCACAAGACAAAAACACAGATTCATGACATTTCAACACAATGTAAACAGAAACTGCTCATCTGGATTCCTGAGAACAAAGATTACGTCAGCTTAGAAACGCTGCACACGTTAAGACAAAACCCATAAAAATGACACGAAGATAAGATAAGGTTTCCCACCAGTGCTGGTTTCATCTTGACACTCTCAGCCACAAATGAAGCCGTCACCATCGCAGGCTCATAAAGCACCTCGTATAAAAATCATTCATCACTCCTGCAGAGCTTTAGTGCGCTCAGACGTCACGCATGGCATGATTATACGTCAAAATGTTGAGGGACAACTTCTAGGAAAACTGCATCTCTCGTTTAGTGCCTTTTTCATGTGATCGTGGAACTCCTGAGAGACAATTGGGCCCGTCCCCTCCCAGTATTACAGGTCTGACGAGGTCCTTTTAAACTCCTGCACTGGCAAACAATTCCCCTGAGGATAGTCCTCATTTTTATGGTCTACACGTATTAAAAAAAAAACGTTTACCCACCGTCTCTGAGACATGTCCCACCGTTCTGCGTCTGCACAGCGGCCTGCCACTCTTCACCAGGTCCGGTAAGGTCTTGTCGGCGTAGCACTTCTGGAAGGAGCTCTCTCCTACACCGACCTCTGCCTCTGACGAGTCTCTTGTTCCCTCCGAGACCATCTCCCCGGTGCTGTCGGTCTCCTCAGACTGCGTGGTGCTGCTGTTATCATTGTTCAGCTCCTCACTCTCAAAGTCTTTTAAACTCAAATCACCGAAGGGGCACACGTTGGTAAAGAACATCAGATCAGCAGAACTGTTGTCTTCTCGGCCATCACAGACCACCTCCTCGTGCTCGTCAAAGATGTTAGGCTCCCGCGGACTCTCTGGTTCTGTTCTGGAGACGTTGTGCTCTGGTCCTGTCAACAGGATGGCTGGCCTGTGTCTGCTCTTGAACGAGTCCAGCTTTCTGATTTCCAGTCTGTTCAGGGAAGAGTAGATCTGATCGCTGGTGGAGAAGCGCGGCCTCAGCATCTCGTTCAGTTCTGAAAAAGACTGAGAATAATCCATGATCAGCTCGGCAGAAGTATCCGGTAAACCTTCTGAATGTACTAAGAGTGTGTCTTTACACACACATGGGAAATAAAAGACGAGAGAACAAGGAGGAGGCAGGAGGATGATCAGAATGCAGCTGAACTTGTTCTACCTGAACTGTGCCCGTCCTTACAGGCATGACATGATGTGATGTCACCGGAGGCTGTGGCTTCAAGCTCTGCATTCTTCCTCTTTGGTGGTTGGACAAACGCACGGCGTGCAAACATTCCAGAGCAGCAGGAGACAAAGGGATGAGGTCTAAACCTTCAGCACGTCAAGATATTTAGGTTTGACGCAGGACAGCTGCTTATAGCAACTTTTTATTATCAAACAACGAAGCAGAAATCCTGCGATGGTGAATGGAATCATTTACAGTGTTGCTAATTTTACCAACACATTCTTGATGAGTCATCAGGTTAATTTTAGTATTTGAGGGCTTTTGGGGAAAACACCAGTTTCTTAAAGATAAAGGGGCATTTTGGTGACAAATCTCTTCCATGCATGAGCAGACGAGTTAGCAACCAGCTAAAACTTTTATTTTAATTTTGAGTAATTCTGCTCATTTTGATTATAGACCAAGTTTGTCTTGATGCAACAAAATGAAGCAGGATAAAAACTGTAAATCAAACTGAGCACTTTTTTTATTATTATTATTATTAAAAGTGGATCATCTTTGAAGTAAAATATTCAGACAGCTGATTGTGATCCTTCTCCAGTGGTTCACTTTACTTTAAATAAGTCAAACCTAATTATGAAGGACAACACGTAAATTACGATAAATAGACTTAATATATTTTTAATGGTTTTTTTAATCTTTCATTGATAAAATGATCAGATTTTCTATGAGCTGTTCTCATTTTAATTTTAGACATTTAAGTAACATTTTAAGATGAGTCCCGTTAGCATTAGCAAGAATACAACTAGTGAGTCAAAATGGTTGGAAGCTAATTTAATTCCGTTAGCACTTACCATTGGAGTGCAAGCTAATTTAAACAATCAGCTAATTTTAACAATGACATATAAATTTGTTTTTATTTTGAACAGGAAAAGCATTCGATATTTTTACCCAAAAAGATATAGACAGATTTGCAGTTAGCAATTAGCTTAGCAAGCATCAAGACTTGACAACAGGAAACGCCTCCACTAGTTATAATAATGGTGCGTTCAATAGGCTCTGTGCACATGCGTCCTGAATCACTTCCGCTTTGACCGGATGTCGGCATTCCAGTTTCCGGTTTAATTCCTGTATCCTGTCATCCCAGAGATAAACAACTAAAATGAGTGTTGCTGCGTCAAATAAACAAAAATATAACGTGCGTGGCAGCTTTAGATTTCAGCCGACGGTGTTTGGGTCTAAGGAGCACTGTTGTGTGCCGCTTTGCTCGTCTTCAGGTCGCTATAATAGCCGTTTGAGCTTTCACCGTTTCCCTAAGGAGACAAGCCTTCGTTTGTGCTGGCTGCAAAAAATCAGAAGAGAGGGATTTACGGTAACTCCTCACACCAAGGTATGTAGCCGACATTTCCTGGAGAATGAAGTAATTACTACAGAAAAGGGAAGACGAATTTTAGCAGCTGGGTCGGTTCCATCATTATTTGAGTGGAACAAATACAGCAGGAAGACACGAGCAGGTGTTTGGGAGCGCCGTTGTCGACCATCTAATCCAGAACCTGATTCGGCGGATCCAATTGAGGACAATGAACCACCCGTCATGGTACCTATGGTCGTGGACCATGACTACGGCGCCAGCAGAACCGTGTGTGTTGACCGGGAGCAATATCACAGCATGCTGAGAGAAATTGAGCAACTGAAAGAGCAGCTCCGATCCTGTAGTCTTCAAAAGCCGTTTGGACTGGAACGTTTTTCTACGTCACCAGAAGACATCAGATTTTACACCAGGTCAGAGTTGTAAAATCTAAATATTACGTTATGCCTCTGAAAAAAATTAATACGCTTTGAGTCATTGTATATTTTGTCACATTACAACCAAAAACAATTTCATTGTAATTTTCTTTGAGAGACCAACACAAGTACACACTTACTAGTGGAAATGAAATTATACATAATGTAACACATTATTATTATTATTATTATTATTATTATTATTATTATTATTAGTAGTAGTAGTAGTAGTACTAGTACTAGTACTAGTAGTACTGTATTTACAAATGATACTGAAAAGTGTGGTGTGTAAGAGTAATCGGCTCCCTTTTCTGTAACCAATATTCCTTCAGAAATAGCTTTAATGATTACAAATGGCTATGGAGTCCACCCGTGTGTAAACTAATGTCAAATACAAATACAGCAGCTAGTGACAGCCTCAGGTCGGTGAAAATAGTTGGTTTCTGTGATTAGATGACACACAGGCTGACTATTATGCCATTAGCAATCATCAGGAAACTTATGAAGACTAGAAGTTACTCTCTGATTTAAGGGGGCTGAACATTTGTGCTCAAAATAGTTTTCAATTTATAAAAAAATTACAAACCTTCAAATCATGTATAATTTTCTTTCCACTTTACAACATAAAATTTCAAAGAAAGATATTTATGTTCTTAGTTGTACCGTGTCAAAATTTGAAAACTGTTTTCACAGTTATAAATGTGGAGAGTGACAGTTTATATATATATATATATATATATATATATATATTATTTTTTTTTTAAATGTGTTTTAGGTTCCCCTCATATGAGCATCTGAAGGCGTTTTGGAACTTGATCGAGGCAGCAACAGCCAAAATGGTCAGGGTCACCAGAGCAAAGAAAACCGACGTCATGAGTACAACAACTGAAACCCCTTTTACCAGACCAACTGTAAGTTACACACACACACACACACACAATGAGAATGCTGGTTTTGAACTAACATTTAAATAATTTTCTGTCCAGAAACTGCTGCCAATAGATGAGCTTTTTCTTTTCCTCTCCTACCTGTCTACTGGATGTACCCAGAGGGAACTGGGCCATCGATTTAACATCCACAGAGCAACAGTCAGCCGCATTATTGTGACATGGGCCAACTTCCTGTACTGCTTATTGGGCTCAATTTGTGTGTGGATGTCTCCTGCAGCTGTGAGTTCCAGTCTTCCACAGGATTTTGATGGCCGCTACAGTGACACACAAGTTATCCTGGACTGTACAGAACTACGGTGTCAAACACCTTCATCCCTGCTCCTCCAGAGTGAAGTCTTCTCCACCTACAAATCCCACTGTACCTTTAAGGCCATGGTGGGCATGTCTCCTCACGGAGCCCTGACATTTGTGTCAGCACTGTTTGAGGGTTCCATGAGTGACAAGGAAGTGTTCCGTCAATCAGGGATTACATCACTCTTGACACTGGACATGGCCATCATGGTGGACAAGGGATTCTTGGTGGATGATCTCGTACCTGGGACTGTTCATCGTCCTGCCTTCCTCTCCAAGAGGGCCCAAATGTCAGAGGTCGACGTTTTGAAGACCCAGTCCATTGCCCGTTTGAGGGTGCATGTTGAGAGGTTAATAAGAAGAGTTAAAGAAAATAAACTCTTTGATTCCACTATCCCTCTCTCCATTGCAGGAAGCATAAACCAAATTTTTACAGTTGCCTGTCTCCTGTCAAATTACCAAAATGGACCTTTGGTCAGGAAATGGAGATATGAAGTTTGACAGAAAAGCTGATGGCACAGTCTTGAAGAAACAGAAAATGCTGTCATTTACTTACATTGACATTGTCTTACATTTGTAAATAGATATTCATGATGGAAATATTTTGAAACAAATTTGTACATTTGATTTGATCAAACTCCTAATTTAGACATTTCTGCAGGTAAACATAGAAAAAATATCTGTCTACTTTGTGTTTGATTGAATCCATCACATTAGTGTCTGCATAAATTCTTTGAATAAGAATATCTTCCTCAGCTGAGACAACAAAATCACACCAGTTCATCCCAGTTATTAGCATCTGCCCCTGAACCTGCCAATAGTAAACATGAGTTTTTTTTAGTTTATTCACCATGTCCCAGGTGACCTCCATACTTTTAAGGTGTAGCTGTTGTGGTTCAGAACAAACAAACATGCTTTTTGATGGCTGTAGGTGGTAGTTCTTAAGAGGCAGAGATGGACGGGGTGGTGCAGCATGGAAGGACATGTCTCTCTTTGCTGTTGCTGGCTGTTGGTAGGACAGAGGACTTCCAGCCTGAACTTTGCCAAGGGCAGAGTCAACAAGGGGAAATTCATGGCTGATTCCCATGCTGCAGATCATTGGTGCATCAGCTGCTGCAAAATCTTCATACACCTCGGACACCTGGGAAAGTGAAAACAATTATTTCAATAAAATGTAAAATACATGTATATCAACTAATTTTAAGCCCTCAAAAATTCTACACTTTACAAAGAGACAGCACTTGAAAATAAAATTATTCAATACACCGGTAAGTCTACAACTCTTTGTTAGTACATTGTAGCCTACTGTTAATTTCATTTTTATTTATCAGTAATTTAAAAACAACTACTTACTCTAAGGACAGAAAGGTCCGGCAAATCCCCACTAAGGCCTTTGTAGAGTGTGCTCCTGTGTATATAAATAAGAAAAGAACATGAGTCAAAAATAGAATACCCACCTGCATTTCGTTCAGATATGAAACATAAAATAATAGTGTTTTTCAAGCCTGGTCCTCAAGGCACACTGTCCTGCATGTTTGAGATTTGTCCCTGCTTAAACACAGCTCATTTCAGTTGGTAACTGATTAACAACTGTATCAGCTGTGTTAATGCAGGGAAATCTATAAAGCATGCAGAGCAGTGTGCCTTGAGGACCAGGGTTGAGAAACACTGTTGTAATACATCAGAATTTTTTATTGATTTTTTTTTACCTTACACCCTCTGTTGTTGCTCCACTCTTCGGTTTAGCAGACAGCACAGTCATCTTGTCCACGGGGCCAGGTTTTATACCCTATTCAGTTATCCATGACACAGTTACAAGTTATACGGCAAGAAAATGTAATAAATTGAGTCTATTATTGAAGAGAAAACTTACTAAAG